TTTTTGGAGAGTTTATTCTAGGTCTGTGAAATATGCCATTGGTATTTCAATGGGAAGTACGTTGAATTTATATATTGCTTTGGGTAGTATGGACATTTTAATTATGTTGATCCTACAAATCCATGAACATAATATGTTCTTCCATCTGTTTATGTCTTCCTCTATCTCTTTTTTTCAACATCCTATAGTTTTCTGAGTAGAGGTCTTTTACCTCTTTATTTAAGTTTATTCCTAGGTATCTTAATTTTTTTGGTGTGATGGTAAATGGGATTGCTTTTTTAGTCTCTCTTTCTGTAAGTTCACTATAGAAATGCCATAGATTTCTTGGCATTAATTTTGTATCCTGCTACATTGCTGAATTCATTTATTAAGTCTAATAGTTTTTTGATGGAGTCTTTAGGGTTTTTTATGTACAATATCATGTCATCTGTGAATAAGGACAGTTTTACTTCTTCATTTCCAATTTGGATGCCTTTTATTTCTTCTTCTTGTCTAATCGCAATGGCTAATACTTCCAGTACTATGTCAAACAGGAGTGGTGAGAGTGGGCATCCCTGTCTTGTTCCTGTTCTTAGGGGAAATAGTTTTAGTTTTTGCCCATTGAGTATGATGTTGACTTTGGGCTTGTCATATATGGCTTTTATTATGTTGAGGTATGATCCTTCTATTCCCACCTTGCTGAGAGTTTTTATCAAAAATGGGTGTTGGATTTTGTCAAATGCTTTTTCTGCATCAATTGATATGACTATGTGGTTTTTTTCTTTCAATTTGTTTATGTGATGTATCATGTTTATTGATTTGCGGATATTGTACCATCCTTGCATCCCTGGGATAAATCCTACTTGGTCATGGTGTATGATCTTTCTGATGTACTGCTGGATCCGATTTGCTAAGATTTTGTTGAGGATTTTGGCATCTATGTTCATGAGGGATATTGGCCTGTAATTCTCTTTCATTGTGTTGTCTTTACCTGGTTTTGGTATTAGGGTGATGCTGGCTTCAGAGAATGAGCTTGGAAGTATTCCTTCCTCTTGAATTTTTTGTAGTAGTCTGAGGAGGACAGGTTTTAGTTTTTCCTTGAATGTTTGGTAAAACTCCCCTGTGAAGCCATCTGGTCCTGGGCTTTTGTTTGCTGGAAGCTTTTTGATGACTGCTTCAATTTCTTCCATAGTTATTGGCCTGTTGAGATTTTTAGATTCTTCCTGATTGAGTTTTGGAATGTTGTATTTTTCTAGGAATTTGTCCATTTCCTCCAGGTTGTCTAGTTTGTTGGAGTAGAGTTGTCCATAGTATTTTTAAACAATCATTTGTATTTCTGTGAGGTCTGTTGTTATTTCGCCTCTATCATTTCTGATTTTGTTTATTTGGGTCCTCTCTCTTTGCTTCTTGGTGAGCCTGGCTAGAGGTTCATTAATCTTGTTTATCCTTTCAAAGAACCAGCTCTTGGTTTCATTGATTTTATGTATTGTTTTTTTGGTCTCTATGTCATTGATTTCTGCTCTAATCTTTATTATCTCCTTCCTTCTGCTCACTCTGGGGTTTTCTTGTTGCTCTCTTTCTAATTCTTTGAGATGTAGAGTTAGATGATTTACTACCATTTTTTCTTGTTTTTTGAGATAGGCCTGTAGAGCTATAAACTTCCCTCTCAGGACTGCTTTCTTTGTGTCCCATAGGTTCTGGATTGTTGTGTTTTCATGTCATTAGTTTCCAGGATGTTTTTAATTTCTTCTTTGATCTCATTGGTAACCCAATCAATATTTAATAACATGCTATTCAGCTTCCAAGTGTTTGAGTATTTTGGGTTGTTTTTCTTGTAGTTTATTTCTAATATTGTGCCATTGTGGTCTGAGAAGATGGTTGGTATGATTTCAATCTTCTTGAAATTGGGGAGACTTTGTTTGTGACCCAATATGTGGTCTATTTTTGAATATGTCCTATGAGCACTTGAGTAGAATGTATATTCCGTGGCTTTGGGTGAAGTGTTTTGAAGATGTCAATTAAGTCCATCTGATCTAGTGAGTCATTTAGGATTGCTGTTTCTTTGCTGATTGTTTGTCTAGAGGATTTATCCAGTGATGTCAGTGGTGTATTAAAGTCCCCTACTATGATTGTATTGTTGTCGATCTCTCCTTTGATATCTTCCAGGAGTTTTTTTATGTATTTGGGTGCTCCTGCATTGGGTGCATATATGTTTATCAGGGTTATATCTTCTTGTTGTATTGATCCCTTTAGTATTATGAAGTGGCCTTCCTTATCTCTTGTTATGGCCTTCACCTTGAGGTCTATTTTGTCCGATATAAGTATTGCTACCCCAGCTTTTTTTTCATTTCCATTTGCCTGAAAGATATTTTTCCATCACTTCACTTTCAGTCTGTGTGAGTCCCTTCTTCTGAGGTGGGTCTCTTGTAGACAGAAAATGTATGGGTCATGTTTTTTTATCCATTCAGCCACTTGATGTCTTTTGGTTGGAGCATTTAGTCCATTTACGTTTAAAGTTATTATTGAAAGGTACTTGTTTGTAGCCATTTCTATTTTTTGTGGCTGTTTTCTTTCTGAGCTTTTTATTTCTTCTTTTTACACCAGTCCCTTTAGCATTTCTTGCATTGCTGGCTTGGTGGTGATAAACTCCCTTAGCCTTTTTTTGTCTGTGAAGCTTCTTATTTCCCCTTCAATTTTGAATGATAGCCTTGCTGGATAGAGTATTCTTGGATTCAGTCCTTTGCTTTGCATCACTTTGTAAATTTCCGTCCATTCTTTTCTGGCCTGATGTGTTTCTGTTGAGAAATCATTTGATAATCTAATGGGAGATCCCTTGTATGTAACTTTCCGTCTCTCTCTTGCAGCCTTTAAGATTCTCTTTTTGTCCTGAATATTTGCCATGGTAATTATGATGTGTCTTGGTGTGGGTCTTTTCGGGTTCACTTTGTTTGGGACTCTCTGTGCTTGTGTGACTTTTTTCTTCCCCACCTCAGGGAAGTTTTCTGATATTATTTCTTCAAATAGGTTTTCTAAGTCTTGTTCCTCTTTCTGTTGTTATGGCACCCCTATTATTCGTATGTTGTTTCGTTTCATGTTGCCCATAGCTCCCTTAGACTCTCCTCCTGTCTTTTAATTTTTTCTCCAATTGCTGTTCAGATTGTGTGTTTTGTTTCCCTGTCTTCTAATTCGCTAATTCGGTCCTCCGCTTCTCCTAGTCTACTGTTGAAACTTTCAATGGTGTTTTTTATTGCAGCTATATCACTCTTCATTTCTTCTTGGTTCTTATATAATTTATTGATTTCTTCATCTGTTTCTTCTTGCTTCTTGCATAAGTTGTTGATTTTTTCCTCCATCCGGTTTATGCATTCTAGGACCCTTAATCTGAATTCTTTTCCTGTCATGCTGCATGCCTCGGTTTCACTTAGCTGCTTTTCTGGCGAGTCCTCCTTTTCTTTCCTTTGGGGGTTTCTTTGTCTACCCATGTTTGATCTCACCAACAGATCTAGATGTTGAGTCGTTCAGTGGCTGCTCCCTGGGTGGCAGTGGCTCCTTGGGCTGCGGTTGCTCCCCACGCGGTTGTGGTAGCAGTTGCTCCTCAGTTGGCAGCAGCTCCTGTGATGGGTGCTGTTCACCACTGTGGTGGCTCCTCTGGCTGGTGGGGGGAGGCTTCACACAGAGCTGCTGTTTCTCAGACAGAGGGTGTGGTGATCAGGAGGCTGCTGTTTCTTCTCGTTGTATTTTTGAAGTTGTTGTCGGAGGCAGCAATTACCAGTGTTTACCTGTGCCGCCATCTTGGTTTCTCCAGGCCTCTAGTATTTACATAAGTTACTGTCAGTGTGCTGGTTCTCAAGTTGGATGGTGGGTTCATAGGTGTTCACTACAATATTAACTAATAAACAGACAAGTAAAAGAGAGCTACTTTGTGGCCTTAAAAGTCAGGATGAAAGGAAAGGAAACAAAGTACAAGAAAGGAAGACAAGGAAAAGGAAGGCTCTGGTACCTGAAAAACTTGGATTCAAATACCATTTCTGCCACTTACTGCTTATGATTAGACCTCAACTTCATTATTTATAAAATGGAAATTGTATTAAATTAAATCATATGAAATTAGTAATATTTAATCTTTTTTTTGCTACAATCTACCTCCCAGGGTTGTTGTAAAGACGAAATAAGGAAAAGTCCAGACTGAACAAGCATTAAGAGCTCACTAAATGTTGTGTTATTTTTCTCTTCAATTCTTACAAATCTGTCAATATTTTTTCACATGAAGCTACTTCTTTTTTCTCTAATAACTTCCCTCCTACCTCTATCAAAAGTGATGAAGAGCCCTAGCCTGTTTGGCTCAGTGGATAGAGCATCAGCCTGTATAACAAAGGGTCCTGGGTTTGATTCCGGGCAAGGGCATGTACCTTGGTTGCAGGATCCTCAGGCCCTGGCCCTAGTCGGAGGCAACCAATCGATGTGTTTCACATCAATATTTCTCTGTCTTTCCCTCTCTCTTCCACTCTCCCTAAAAATCAATGGAAAAATATCATTGGGTGAGGATTAAAATAATAATAATAATAATAAAAGTTTTTAAAAAAAGTGATGAAGAATTCCAAAGTCAGTCTTTGGATTATACATAACTACTGACTTATGGGAAGCTGCAAATTATATCTAATTTTTGCATTCTTATTTTTTTAATATATTTTTATTGATTTCAGAGAGGAAGGGAGAGGGAGAAAGAGATAGAAACATCAATGATGAGAGAGAATCATTGATTGGCTGCCTCCTGTACGCCCCACACTGGGGCTCAAGCTCGCAACCCGGGTATGTGCCCTAGGCCGGAATCAAACATGAGACCCTTCAGTCTGCAGGCCGACACTGTATCCACTGAGCCAAACTGGCTAGGGCTGCATTCTTATTAAAGCTAGATACTTTATTGAAAATATAACACCTCCAGAAGAAAAAAATATATATATATATCACACATACACGCACAGATATAATGGTATATACTTATATTCTTGTTCTTTCTTTAGCTGACTTTCCTGTCCCAAGTATAACTGAGCTTGGAAACCCAGCTACAAACATCAAAAGAATAATTTGTTCAACCTCTGGAGGTTTTCCAAAGCCTCACCTCTCCTGGTTGGAAAAGGGAAAAGAATTAAATGCCATCCACACAACAGTTTCCCAAGACCCTCAAACTGAGCTCTACACTATTAGCAGTGAACTGGACTTCAATGTGACAAACAACCACACCTTCATATGTCTTGTCAAGTATGGAAACTTAACAGTATCACAGATCTTCAACTGGCAAAAATGTAAGTCACGTCCTGGGAAGTTTCTCCTGTGGAGAACCTAAAAGGAAAATAACTCAGCCAGATACAGTTTAGAATTGTGCATATCGACTTTGACTGTATTTTTTGTAGTATTTTTAGACATGCAAATAAAATGTTATGGTGACATATTAAGGTCACTCACTGTATAAGGTATGACTATGTTACTAGATTAATTTTATTTTTTTAAATAAACATTCTAAAATTTAGAGTCCATATAATTGCTATTCATCAAATAGTCATCTTAGGAAGTTATTATAATAATGTTGTTGTCCTTGAAAGCACTAATATTTGTCCTTCTTAGGAACTGCCCTCAGGGCTTTGGCAGTTTCTTTTTGGGCATTGCCTCTCCATGGTCCCATGATGTCAATCACTGTCTTTTGTGGGTGACAGTAAGTTTAAAGAACTACTGGTTCATTCAGAACCGAGTCTAGTGAAGGAGATGAATAACAAGCTACTGTGGACAATGCCTGAAAAAATAGGTCTTTTTTGAGCAAATACCATGACCAGATGCTTTACAAATGGTAAACTTAGAAAATCCTCCTTTCTCTAGAAGTAAAATCATCTGAAAATATAAAATGGAAAAGGTTGGGTTTATATAAATTTGTGCATGACAAACCCATAATGGGCTGTTACAAGAGAACCCAGATACTCGAGATACGTGTCTAACTTGTATGCCTGATTATATAGAGAAATGACAGGCCTCTTCCACACCTCCCAGCCCCACTCCTAACAATGTGTTTTGTGGCTACATAGCAAGAAACAATACACTGAGTTTGCTATACAGTAGTATGTAAATGTAAATATCTATAAAAAAGCTTAAGTGACCGTCGCAACTGTCGCGACCATCACGATTGAACAGACGGCCAAATAGGCTGCGTAGGGAGACCAGGTCGGCAGGGGGTTAGTGAGGGACAACCAAATGACCGAGCAGCAGGCTGCGTGGGGCAACCTGGCCAGCAGGGGGGCAGTTGGGGGCAACTAGGCCACCAGCGGGGGGGAGGGGGGGCAGTTGGGGGTGATCAGGCCAGCAGGCAGAGGCAGTTATATTTTGGGCCATTTCGCCCCCCGGGGTTGAGCAGTTGAGGGGCAATCCAGGCCAGCAAGCAAAGGTGGTTTAGGGGTGATCAGGCGGGGGGGGGGGGGGGGCTGTTAGGGGTGATCAGGCAGGCAAGCACATGAGCGGTTACGAGCCAGTGGTCCAGGATTGTGAGAGGGATGTTTGATTGGGATCAGGCCTAAACCAGCAGTTGGACATTCCCCAAGGGGTCCCAGATTGGAAAGGGTGCAGGCTGGGCTGAGGGGACCACCCCCTCATGCACGAATTTCGTGCACTGGGTCTCTAGTAATATATAATGTATAGTGTGTCTGAGTTCCTCTTGTGACTGGTAGTAAAGAAGATATTTAAATAGTCTCCAGTTCATTCTAGTGAATGATTTACTCTAGACCATCGGTTCTCAACCTGTGGATCAAGACCCCTTTGGCGGTCAAACGACCCTTTCACAGGGGTCGCCTAAGACCATCCTGCATATCAGATATTTACATTACAATTCATAACAGTAGCAACATTACAGTTATGAAGTAGCAACAAAAATAATTTTATGGTTGGGTCACAACATGAGGAACTGTATTTAAAGGGCCAGAAGGTTGAGAACCACTGCTCTAGACCATTCTGTCTTGAGGAGGATTCTTTTTTTTTCCTCACTAGATAATTAGATAAAAATTCCCAGGGAAAAATAGTTCAAATATATAACAAATTTTGATGATTTTATTGATAGTCCAAACTCCTCTCTCTCAATTATCTTTATATATTCTAAAAAATGTGTAAAAGTGAATCTGAATAATATAGTAAATATTATTCATTAATTCAGCATTACTTTTCACTTAACATCATTATTTAATCAATTTTAGATTATTACTAAGGTGGGAAGTAATACACAAATCAGTAATAGCAGCTTCAGTCATATTTTATTTTGGACATTATTTAAATTTGGAATATGGGTATATAAGATATTCTAGGACAGATGGTGGCAAAATTTTTCAGAAAAGGGCCAGATACTAAACAGTTTAGTCTTGTAGGTCATATGGTCTCTTGCAACAACTCAAATCAGCTATTATAGCATGAAAGCTGCCATAGACAAGACATAAATGAAGAACATTGTTATGTTTCAACAAAAATTGTATTTAAAAAAGTAGGTGGTAGGCCACATTTGGCCTATGCACTGTAGTTGGCTAATTTATAGGAAATAGAATGTAGCCCTTCAATAAAAAGGTGGAGCTATATTTAAAGATGATATTATTAAACTACCAGCTTTATCATCTTTCCCCTAATAGGTCTTCTCTCAATTTTTCCTTCATGCTGAGGAGGAGCAGAATCCTATTGCAGTATAATTAAAATATGAGTTCTTAGCCCTATTTGGTCTACATTCACTATGATTAATGAAGAGATGATTAAGTGTATGTGTTTATTCATTCCTTTATTCAATCTTTAGGCAGTTATCACATCGCAAGCATTTTGCTAGATACTAGTGTTGTTTCTATGGTCAGAGAGCTTTCATGTATAAAGACTTCAAACCTTGTTGACTGGATTGAAGGCATCATTTAGAGTCAAAGCAAATAATGCATTTGTGGGTGGTCAAGAACTGACTGCATAAGCACACACAACTTAGGTGTGAAGTTCATAGAAATGTTACAAGCCAATGTGAGTAAAGCTTTACTTTATAAGTATCCACTAAAAAACCCCCACCAAATTTATTAATTAAATAAATCGGGTCTATGATTATTTAGTCTGGGCTTGCCAAATTTGTTAAACCTTGATGTGCTAGAAGATGTGTGTGGGGGGGGGGGGGGGGAAGGGGTGCGTGGTGTGTGTGTGTGGGCGGGGGGTAAATTAGAGAGTACCACGCATAGTGTCTCAAACTATATGTGCAGATGTCCTCACATAACTATCCACTTAGATTCTGGGTCTGTTCTATGGTGTATTACCAAGTTCCTAATAGGCATTATGATGGAGCCAGCTTACTGGTTCCTCCTTCTTTCCCTTAAGCACACACCCTCTCTCTAGGCAGAGGGAGGCTTAAGGATGGATGGGAGTGGCCTCTCAGAGGAAGTCAGGTGTGGTCGGAACTGTGAAACTTTTAGAATTCCAAGAGTTTCTTTGTTATTTTGGGTGTCATTCCGGTCTGTCGTGGCAAACATTGGTAATCACTTGAAGTCTCCATGTACTTTAGAGAAAGAGAAAAGACCAACTTTTCTTAATCTCCTAGGGGGTAGGTGCACTATGATCAAGTGTGTATTTTAGAACAGATATTGCAGTGTGTAGGAATTATTAGAGCCCAGGAAATCAGAGCCAAAGCAACCATTATGGAGGCTAGGAGGTAGGAGATGAGAAAAACATGAACTAGGACAGCAGCTGCAAGAGAGTTGGGGGAGAGAAACCAAGATGGCGGCATAGGTAAACACCTGAAATTGCTGCCTTGCACAACCACTTCAAAAATACAACTAAAAGACAAAACAGACATCATCCAGAACCACAGGAAGGCTGGCTGAGTGGAAATTCTACAACTAGAAGGAAAGAGAAAAGCACACTGAGACTCGGAGGAGGTGTGGAAGTAAAGTGCAGAGGTATAGAGGCGCATGCTGAAAGGGCTGGCAACTGAGGACATGGTGATCTTTTTCAATCGGGAGGAAGTTCAAGCTCCCGACTGCTTTGAACTCCAGTTCTGGGCCAGTCTTTGGGGACCCAGACTCATACAGGGAGAAACTGGACTGTCTGGCAGCAGGCAGAACTCGAGGGCGGCTTTCTCTCAGAGGTGCTTGCAGTGATTACTTCAGGACACTGAGAACTGGGGCCTCTTAGGGCAGGGCTGAGGATCAGCCATAGCTGTTTGCTCCACCCTATTGATTCCCTGAGACCCTGCCCCACCCAAGCTGTGTGCAGAGGCTTTTGCATATGAATGGCCTGGCCCTTTGCAATGTAAAATTACCTAACAAACTGCAGCTGGGTCAGAGAGACCCAGAACATCCAAAAGAAGGCCCAAGGCCCCACAGCAGCTTGCATTGCTTCACAGCTGGGCCTCATCTGGGCACCTCCAAACCCCAAACAAAGAAGAGAAATCTGCAGATCTCTCCATAGCTCCTGCTGGGTAGCCTCAGACAGAGGCTAAATTAGCACCTCCTTAGAGATCCAAGAGCCTTTGTACCCAGTGGTCAGAGTGGGACCATCCAGATTACAACTCCTCAGATCCATAACGACACACTCAGGGGGCAGACTCAGTGAGCACCAAAGCCCCACTGAAGCAAGTCTTGCCCCATAAGGGTGTCTCCAGCACAGAAGTTCTCCCACCATAGACACAGCTGATTCTCACAGCCAATTGGCCTGGAGGTCAATTCCTCCCAGTGATACCAACAACAATCAAGGCTTAAGTACAACAAGATTGTGCACAAAGCCCACAAAGGGTTGCACCAAGAGTGTCCACCTCAGGTAATTGAGGAGGCTGAGCCACTGGGCCCTACAGGACACCTAGCACACAAAGCCACTCTATCAACACAGGGAAGAAGCCAAAATGCAGAGACAAAGAAACAGGTCACAAATGACAGAAATGGAAGAAAGCAAACTACTGGTTATAGAGTTCAAAACCACGGTTATAAGGTTTTTCAAGAATTTTCTGGAAACCGCCGATAAATTTGTGAGACCCTCAAGAAATCTAATGAGACCCTCAAGGATATGAAAAAGGACCAACTAGAAATTAAGCATACACTGACTGAAATAAAGAATAATATACAGAGATCCAACAGCAGACAAGAGGATCCCAAGAATCAAGTCAAAGATTTGAAATATGAAGAAGCAAAAAACACCCAACTGGAAAAGAAAAAAGAATTCAAAAATATGAAGATAGTGTAAGGAGCCTCTGGGACAACTTCAAGCATACCAACATCCAAATTATAGGGGTGCCAGAAGAAGAGAGAGAGCAAGATATTGAAAACCTATTTGAAGAAGTAATGACAGAAAACTTCCCCTACCTGGTGAAATAGACTTACAAGTCCAGGAAGCGCAGAGAACCCCAAACAAAAGGAATCCAAAGAGGACCACACCAAGACACTTCATAATTAAAATGCCAAGGGCAAAAGACAAAGAAAGAATCTTAAAAGCAGCAAGAGAAAAAATGTCAGTTACCTACAAGGGAGTACCCATCAGATTGTCAGCTGATTTCCCAACAGAAACTATGCAGGCCAGAAGGGAGTGGCAAGAAATATTCAAAGTGATGAATAGCAAGAACCTACAACCAAGATTACTTTACCCAGCAAAGCTATCATTCAGAATTGAAGGTCAGATAAAAAGCTTCACTGATAAGAAAAAGCTAAGGGAGTTCATCACCACCAAACCAGTATTATATGAAATGCTGAAAGGTATTCTTTAAGAAGAGGAAGAAGAAGAAAAAAGGTAAAGATACAAATTATGAACAACAATTACATATCTATCAACAAGTGAATCTAAAAATCAAGTGAATAAAAAATCTGATGAACAGAATAAACTGGTGAATATAATAGAATCAGGGCATAGAAAGGGAGTGGACTGACAATTCTCAGGGGGGAAAGGGTGTGGGGGGTGTGGGAAGAGACTGGAAAAAAATTCTACACTATGGATGAGGACAGTGGGGAGGGTAAGGGCAGAGGGTGGGGTGGGAACCGGGTGAAGGGGAGTTGGGTGGGGGGAGAGGAACAACTGTAATAATCTGAACAATAAAGATATAATTTTAGGAAAAAGAGAGAGCTGGGGGAAAGGAGTCGATTGCAGAGATATTTTGAATATAGAATAGAAAGTCCACAGGAGCCTACTGGGCACAAACACAAGCCTTCATTCTTATTTGGGTAACTAATGGTGTTGCCATTCACTGAAATATGAGCATCTGTGTTAGATGTGCTTTGGAAAGAATATAGTGAGTTCAGTTTTAATCAAGTGAGGTGCTGGCATCCAACCATCTAGTCAACTGCTGGAATAACAAATCTGGAGCTCAGAAATGGAATCAGAAATATAATATACAGATTTAGAAATCATTTAGTGTTTCAAACCTTGGGTGTGGATGAGATCACCCAGGAGGACTGGGGTCAGTGGCAAAAGTATGGGACCACAAATGGAACCATGGGGAACAACAAAATTTAAGGGACAAAAAGAGGAAGAAGAGCCTAAAAACAACAAAAACAACAACAAAAAACTGAGTCACAACCAGCAGAAACAGAAGAATGTGGTGTCATGGAAGTCCAAGGAGGAAAATATTTCAACTTTGGAAAGTTATCCACAAGGCTTGGTAATCAGAAATATAAGAAACAATAAGTTAGTGTTTAATATTTATTGTAAGCTATTCCAGAGAAACCGGAAGAAGATGAGCTATGAATATTCCTTTTAATTTGTGTTCCTGCCCTTTCTCCAGATATTGTTGCCCCAAGGGGTTGAAGAATAGATGTTGTAGCAGCTGCTCCTAATACTCTCTAAACCCCCCCCCCCCCCACCTACATCCTTCCTTGTGTCCCTGTGTTCCCTCTGTTCCCTGTGTTCTGCATCTGATAGCCAGGATGATCCTACCTAATACCAAGCCACATCCACTCTTAGTTCTTTGCTGAGCCTCTTCTACCAGTCCAGAAACTCTCTAGGCTGTATGGTGAAAAATGTGTATCTGAAAACGAATGCAGAATGAATGCTTTAGGTAGTTACTAAGAGGTGTGTGTGAGTGTGTGTGTGTGTGTGTGTGTGTGTTAAGAGAACATGCTAAGAGAAAGGGAGCAAGCATGACAGAGCTGGATAAGGAAAAATAAGGTACATCTAGAACACAAAATCAACTGATTATTATTAGTAATACATAGTAATATCAACTATAAAAGTGAGATACAAAGACAGGGCGGCTTTTAAAGTGTCTCCTTAGAGTCCTTTTTATGCTAGCTTAACTCAGTAAGTACAGAAGTTCAAAATTTATTTTTATTTCTCACATTCAATATCTGACATCTGGATTATCAGCTGCCCACAAGTATATATCTGATTTGTGAGGTACCAAAGAAAATGCTATCAGCTGAGTATTGGAGAGCTGACCAGGCAAAGAAGTGAAAAATACTCTTTGCAGTTCTGTCAAAATAAGAGACATACAATGGGTATCAAGCAACTGGAAACACATTAGAGCTAATACTATTCTTTTTCCTCCACAGATGAGCCAACAGCCTCTCCTTTTAATCAGTCCTGGCTCTGGATCTTAATCCTAGTGGTTGGGATTTCTGTGATCATTGTTATTGCAGTATTTTGTTATTGCTGCCTGTGCAACAGTAAGTGCTTTCCTATTATCATCCTGTAAGCCAGTGGTTCTCAACCTTCTGGCCCTTTAAATACAGTTTCTCATGTTGTGACCCAACTATAAAATTATTTTCGTTGCTACTTCATAACTGTAATGTTGCTACTGTTATGAATCATAATGTAAATATCTGATATGCAGGATGGTCTTAGGCGACCCCTGTGAAAGAGTGGTTCGACCTCCAAAGGTTGAGAACCGCTGCCAAGCTCTATTAGTACGATTTAGCATCTCTCTGAGATTTTAAGCTATTCTCATGTTGGAAAAGTCTATGGAAATTTCAGTGTCTCCTTTCCGTGGCTCAGCAAGTTCTATTCACTCACTAGACAGACATTTCTTGCACACCTACTATGTGCCTGGCACTCTACTAGGCAATGGAGTTACGGAGATAAGAAATCACGGCCCTCAAGACACTAAATTCTAATTTAGTCCTTTCATTTCCCCCCTAACTTTATAATATTTTCTTGTAGACACTGAGGCTTGCTAACTAAGATGAAAACATTTCTGATGTAATGTAATATTCTAATTTTTTATTCAGAATTTGAGAAAAATCATAAATGACAAGATTTGGGGGACAGGAATCATTTTCTTGGAGAAGGGTAAAATGCACTAATGGAGTTAAGAAACTACATAGCCACAAGTGATTTTACCAATTCTCAATTCTACAGAATACATTTTTGGGTGAAAGATCAGGAGTGGTTGAGGAAAGAAGATACATCTAGGATATTTTTCCCTACAAGTTTAAAAGTTTGGCTTTACATTTATACATCCTTCAATCTCTAATTAAATGAAGAGGAACTGCTAGGCCAGAGTTAAGGCCAAGTTTGCCATGAAAGAGTATCAATCTTTCTTGGAGGAGAAATCATATATACTGCGGGAAAAAACATCTACTGATTTTCTCAACCTTCAACACAAAAAAATGTCAAAGGTCAGGGAAAACACTAGAGACTCTTTGTTATGAACAACTCAACCCATGGGTGGGATGAGAAAGGTCTGGTGGCTCAAGGATGGTTCTGATACAGACTACCCAGCCTTATCTCTCTAGTTCAGGTTTCCCATCCTTAGTACTATGGACATTTGGAACTGAATAATTATTTGTTTTGGGGTGCTACTCTGTGCATTGTAGCATGTTTAGCAGCATCCCTAGCTCTACTCCATTTGTATCAATAGCACCCCTTGCCCCAATAGTGACCATCAAAAATGTCTCCAAGCATTGCAAATGGCCCCTGTTGGGGAGGGGGTGGAAATCACCCAAGTTCTAAGCCAATCTGAAGGTTTGCTGAAATATATGGGCAGTTTAAGGGAAATTCACCTATCTGAATTTTTATTTTTTGTGTTTATCTTCAAGGACCTGCTGCAAGATGGAGAGAGAGAAGGAAGAGTGGGGAGAGTATGGAAATGAAAACAATCTCCCCTATCGTCTCAGGATCTGCAGAAGCATCAGGCTGAACAGAACATCTGAAGGTAGCACCCTTTAGCTCTTCTCTACCATAGTGGGACATATGAGATCATGGCCATCAGGAGGCACAGGGTTTTCTTCCTCCCAGTAGCAAATTTAAGATCTTCTACTTCTTACCCCACCTTCTCAAAAACCTCTTTCAGATTACTCTAAACAAAGGATTGGCACTTCTCTCCTCTTTCCCTGCAATTTCCTTCTTATAACCTCCTTTGTTGTTCTATTCTGCCATCTTGAAATGTTCCTCTCTTGTAAGCCAATTCAATGTCTTTCATTATATACAAAACACTAAGTTCATTTTGAAGTAATATTCCTGATCTAACTCCTTATTCTAATCATCTCATTTTCCCTGTTTCCCTCAGTACTGATGGACATAGATTCATGTCATTTATGAGTCACTCTGTACTAACTCAGCAACACCTTCATTGTTCTCTCTGCCTTTTAGTAACAGATTCATCCTATTGATCCAACCAGAGCCAAATTTCATAAAGAATTATTTCTCATCAGGTTGGTGTGGCTCAGTGGTTGAGCATCGACCTATGAACCAGGAGGTCACAGTTTGATTCCCAGTCTGGGCAGATGACTGGATTGTGGGCTCAATCCCCAGTAGGGGGCATGCAGAAGACAGCTGGTCAAGGATTCTCCTTCATCATTGAAAACATACCAACATTCCCATCATGGGGGTGCTGGAAGAAGAGAAGGAGCAAGAAATTGAAAACCTACTTGAAAAAATAATGACAGAAAACTTCCCTAACTTTGTGAAGGAAGTACATGTATACGTCCAGGAAACACATAGAGTCCTTAACAAGATGAATCCAAAGAGGCCCACACCAAGACATATCATAATTAAAATGCTAGCCGAAACCGGTTTGGCTCAGTGGATAGAGCGTTCGCCTGCAGACTGAAAGGTCCCAGGTTCGATTCCGGTCAAGGGCATGTACCTGGGTTGTGGGCACATCCCCAGTAGGAGATGTGCAGGAGGCAGCTGATCGATGTTTCTCTCTCATCGATGTTTCTAACTCTTTATCTCTTTCCTTTCCTCTCTGTAAAAAAATCAATAAAATAAAAAAGAAATTTTAAAAAAATGCTAAAGGTTAAAGACAAAGAGAGAATCTTAACCAGTTAACTGCCATTCATCCAAAATAGAAACCATCCCCACACGCCACGATATTTTGAATTTAATTTTAAAAAATCATCTGATTCTGGAGTTGAATAAAGGATGTCATCTTCCTCTTGCAAGGTGCTTGATTTGATTATTTCTTCATCTGATGCCATTTATGGGGACTTAATTTTATTTGCACAATATAATATATTGTGCAAATAAAGTGTCACAATGAACCAAAAAAATCTCAAGTGTCGCAGTGTTTATCTCTCGCAAGTCTGAGTGGCAGCCCTATACTAGTATATCGATATTGGAATTTCTTCCCTATGTACTGGAATATTTACATATTTAAGTTACCATAATTTTCTTTACAAACCCAGAGATGTCACTAACAAGTCTGATTTTTAAAATTGGGCGACCGGAGTTGATATGTGAGATTTGCAGCTATAGACGCGTGTGGCGTGTGGGGAAGGTCCACCGCTTGTGTCTGTAGACACTTATGGCTACAAAGGGTTAAAAGCAGCAAGAGGAAGAGAGTTGGTTCCCTATAAGGGAGCTCTCTAAGACTGTTAGCTCATTTCTCAACAGAAACTTTGCAGGCCAGAAGGGATTGGCAAGAAATATTTAAAGTGATGAAAAGCAAGGACCTACAAGCAAGATTACTCTATCCAGCCAAACTATCATTTAGAATAAAAGGACAGATAAAGAGCTTTCCAGACAAGAAAAAGCTAAAGAAGTTCATCACCACCAAACCAGTATTATATGAAATATTAAAGGGTCTTCTTTAAGAAGAAAAAGAAAAGATTTTTAAAAAATGAATAAAATGGCAATAAATACATATCTATCAACAACTAAATCTAATCAAACAAATAAATAAATGAACAAGAAGAACAGAAACAGACTTATGGATACAGAGAACGTGTGGACAGTTGCCAGATGGGAGAAGAGAAGGGAGGATGGATGAAAAAGGTGAAGGGGTTGGGAAGAACTAATTGGTTGTTACAGAATAGTCATGGAGATGTAAAGTACAGCACAGAGAATATAGTAAAAAATATTCTAGGAGAGAAACCAAGATGGCGGCATAGGTAAACACCTGAAATTGCTGCCTCCCACAACAACTTCAAAAATACAACTAAAAGACAAAATGGACATAATCCAGAACCACAGGAAGGCTGGCTGAGTGGAAATTCTACAACTAGAAGGAAAGAGAAAAGCACACTGAGACTCGGAGGAGGTGCGGAAGTAAAGTGCAGAGGTATGGAGGCACGCGCGGAAAGGGGCTGGCAACTGAGGATGTGGCTGTCTTTTTGAATTGGGAGGGAGTCACAAGCCCCCAACTGCTCTGAACTCCAGTTCCAGGAAGTCTCTGGGGACCCAGACTCATACAGGGAGAAACTGGACTGTCTGGCAGCAGGCAGAACTCGGAACTTGAGGGCAGCTTTCTCTCAGAGGTGCTTGCAGCGATTACGGGACACTGAGACCTGGGGCCTCTTAGGGCAGGGCTGAGGATCAGCCATAGCTGTTTGCTCCGCCCTGTTGATTCCCTGAGACCCTGCCCCACCCAAGCTGCAGCAGAGGCTTTTGCATATGAATGCCCTGGCCCTTTGCAATCTGAAAATTACCTAACAAACTGCAGCTGGGTCAGAGAGACCCAGAACATCCAAAAGAAGGCCCAAGGCCCCACAGCAGCTTGCATTGCTTCACAGCTGGGCCTCATCTGGGCACCTCCAAACCCCAAACAAGGAAGTGGAATCTGCAGATTTCTTCGTAGCTCCTGCTGGGTATCCTTAGGCAGAGGCTAAATTAAGACCTCCTTAGATCCAAGAGCCAGTGTACCCAGTGGTCAGAGTGGGACCATCCAGATTACAACTCCTCAGATCCATAAGGACACACTCAGGGGGCAGACTCAGTGAGCACCAAAGCCCCACTGAAGCAAGTCTTGCCCCATAAGGGTGTCTCCAGCACAGAAGTTCTCCCACCATAGACACAGCTGATTCTCACAGCCAATTGGCCTGGAGGTCAATTCCTCCCAGTGATACCAACAACAATCAAGGCTTAAGTACAACAAGATTGTGCACAAAGCCCACAAAGGGGTGCACCAAGAGTGTCCACATCAGGTAATTGGGGAGGCTGAGCCACTGGGCCCTATAGGACACCTAGCACACAAAGCCATTCTACCAACACAGGGAAGAAGCCAAAATGCAGAGACAAAGAAACAGGTCACAAATGACAGAAATGAAGGAAAGAAAACTACTGGATATAGTGTTCAAAAGCACAGTTATAAGGTTTTTCAAGAATTTTTTAGAAACCGCCGATAAATTTGTGAGACCCTCGAGGATATGAAAAAAGACCAACTAGAAATTAAGCATACACTGACTGAAATAAAGAATAATACACAGAGATCCAACAGCAGACAAGAGGATCCCAAGAATCAAGTCAAAGATTTGAAATATGAAGAAGCAAAAAATACCCAACCAGAAAAGAAAGAAGAATCCAAAAATATGAAGATAGTGTAAGGAGCCTCTGGGACAACTTCAAGTGTACCAACATCTGAATTATAAGGGTGCCAGAAGAAGAGAGAGAGCAAGATATTGAAAACCTATTTGAAGAAATAATGACAGAAAACTTCCCCTACCTGGTGAAATAGACTTACAAGTCCAGGAAGCGCAGAGAACCCCAAACAAAAGGAATCCAAAGAGGACCACACCAAGACACATCATAATTAAAATGCCAAGGGCAAAAGACAAAGAGATAATCTTAAAAGCAGCAAGAGAAAAACTGTCAGTTACCTACAAGGGAGTACTCATACGACTGTCAGCTGATTTCTCAACAGAAACTATGCAGGCCAGAAGGGAGTGGCAAGAAATATTCAAAGTGATGAATAGCAAGAACCTACAACCAAGATTACTTTATCCAGCAAAGCTATCATTCAGAATTGAAGCTAAAGGAGTTCATCACCACCAAACCAGTATTATATGAAATGCTGAAAGGTATTCTTTAAGAAGAGGAAGAAGAAAAAGGTAAAGATAAAAATTATGAACAGCAAATACATATCTATCAACAAGTGAATCTTAAAATCAAGTGAATAAAAAATCTGATGAACAGAGTAAACTGGTGAATATAATAGAATCAGGGGCATAGAAAGGGAGTGGACTGACAATTTTTTGGGGGAAAGGGGTGTGGGGGTGCAGGAAGAGGCTGGACAAAAATCGTACACCTATGGATGAGGACAGTGGGAGGGGTAAGGGCAGAGGGTGGGGTGGGAACTGGGTGGAGGAAAGCTATGGGGGGAAAAAGAGGAACAACTATAATAATCTGAACAATCAAGATTTAATTTAAAAAATATTGTAATAACTATGTATGGTGTCAAATGGATATATTTATTGAGATCACTTAATAAGTTATGTAATGTCTAATTACTGGGATGTACATCTGAAACTAATATAATGTATGCCAATTGTAATTGAAAAATAAAATAATACAGTATACAGATGACGTATTATAGAATGCACACCTTAAACCTACATAATTTTATTAACCGATGTAACCCCAATAAAGTCTACTTATTTCTTAGTGATTTTTAAAATTTTTTATTGACTTCAGAGAGAGAAAGAGAGAGAAAGAATCATCAATGATGAGAGAGAATCATCGACCAGCTGTCTACTACATGCTTTCTACTGGGGATCAAGCCCGCAACCTGGGCATGTGCTCTGACAGGGAATCGATTCTCTTGATTCATAGGTCAATGCTCAACCACTGAGCCACACCCAATAAATTCAATTTAAAAAAGGAAAAGAAAAATGAATTAAAAAATAAAAGATGATGCTTGGTCAGTGTGGCTTACTTGGTTGGGTGTCATCCCATGCACCTAAAGGTTGCTGGTTTGATTCCTGGTCA